CCAAAGAGCAGCTCTTGTCCCTTTGCCCCAGGGAAAGGGTAAGCAAAGCACCGTGAGCCAAAGTCAGAAACCCGAGCTCCATCATCCATTCATTCAACAAATATTTACCGAGCAGTTATTTATTACTGGCTAGACTCCATTCCAAGCATGGGGGACAGAACAGTGGCCCCAACAGGCAGGCTGCTGGGGCTCACACACAGACCCTCGAATCTCACAGGGAGGGAAAGGCCTTAAAAGTTTCCAAGCCTGTTCTGCACCAGCACCAGAACCGCGCCCCTCAAAGCCTGCACCTCCCGGGGCGCCCCTGTCAAGGTCGCCGGTCTCCCCTGGAACATCTGCAGTGAGGGGGAGCTGCCCCGCCCCCGCCAGGCAGGAGCGGCCTCCTGGAATCTCCAGATGCCCACACTGAGGGTGCCGCGGCGGGGACAGAGCCGGAGGCGAGGGAGGCAACAGCGGGTACATGTGCTGCTACAATGCAGAAGCTTTATATTCTTTCAAGACAAAATAGGAAGTGTCGTCTCTAGTTCTGCTGCTTCTGAGCCACCTGCTTGGCACCCAAGAAAACAAGCTGGCTCTCGGGTCCCTCAGCGCCTGCAGCCATGAGGACCGGCTTCACTTCCCCCCCACGGCCCTGGGGCAGAGGGTCCCCAGTGCACCCCACTGCCCCACTTCTCTCTCACTGTCTCTGCCCCCCGGGCCTCCCGCTCCCGACCTGAGCCACCTCTGAGGGCAGGAGGAAGTTCACCACTGGACTGGGAAGCAGGGCTTAGAGGAGCCTCTCCGACCAGGGGCAGCGTGGGCCTAAGGTGCTCCGGCCTGGTAGGCATCTGGGAATGCCAGGCACCGGGAGCGGCCCCTTTGGCCCGGTCTGTGCTCAGACCCCACAGGGCACCCCCCGTCCCACCGTGCTGCCCCAGTTGCCGGATGAGGCCCCGCAACCCTGTGGGCGGCAGCCGAGCTGCGTTTCCAAAGGCGCAGGAGCAGGCGGCGGGTCAGATGGAAGCAATTACGGCTGGGAAAGCGGAGAGGTGGGGGCTGGGAGGGGCTGGCAGCAGCTGGGAAGGGGGGGCCCTCTCTGCCCAACGGAGAGGGCTGGACTCAGGGGGTGGGGTTCCAGGCTGAGCAAACTGAGGTACGGGGTTCAGGGCTGGCACACAGGGCTCCAGGCTGGGAATCAGGAGGGTCTGCGGTCCCCCTTTGTCACTGAGGCACGGTGACCTTGAGCAAACCCCTTCGCACCTCCGAGCCCCGGCCTCCTCATGGACCACAGGATGGGCAGGATGAGCTCAGGGAGCAACGGAGGAGCCAGGCTGCAAAGTGCAGGGTTTGGAAACGTGCCTGGATCCGAGTCCCTGCTCAGCTGCCTACGAGCTGTGTGGCCTTGGCCAAGTTGTTGAATCTTCCTGAGCCTCCATTTCTTCCTTTACAAACGGGCTCAGTGGCTGGAGGGCTGTGTGCAGCTTACATGAAATGACATAAGCAAGTGTGGAGCACACCGTTTTTTTGTTTGTTTGTTTGTTTTGTTTTGTTTTTAGTTTATTGAGCCAGACTTTTAATAAGTGCCAGACCGATCAATGGTAATTCCATTGGCATTTGCTAAGTCCCTTTTTATTATAAGGATAGAGTTGACAGAGGAGGCATGGGCAGAGGACCCAGGACAGACCGTGGGCACAGGCGCTAACCCTGCAGACCTTGGGAACCGCACTACGAGGAGGGTTTGTGGCCAAGGCAGGAACAACAGCGCGCCGGCCCAGTGCTGTGCAAGCTGGTCTCTGTCCTCTTTCTGGCCACCCCCACCCTCCCTGCCCTCCCCACGTGCACAGAAGCAGGCCCTGGCACCCCTGGCTCGCCTGGGTTTCCAGGCAAAGCTGCAGACAGCAAGGGACTATCTGACAACGACAGCCGCTTCTGGCCTCTGCAGCCGGGCCTTCCTCACACTCCAGGCCCACGTGGACCCCAAGGGCCTCGCAAAGCCCCAGCTGGTCACCTTCCTCCCTGCTGGCTGAGGGGCAGAGCCAGAGCTTCAGGTTCTAGAGCAAGCACCTCATCCTTCCGCAGGGCAGCTGGGACGGGGAGGAGTGGGCAGAGACAGGGCTAGAGGTCTCCGGTCCCGGGCAAGAGGCCAGGCCTAAAAGAAAGCCTGCAGCTCTGGACACTGATGGCCCTCCTCAGCCTGAAAAGCAACCAACCCAGCAAAAGCCCTTGGCAGAGCTTCAGCCCCTGCCGGGTGCAGGGGCACCAATCGGAAACCCCGGGCACCTTGCTGTGGCCCAGGCGTCTCACGCTGCTGCTTTCACTTGTTACTACACTTGACTACTTCCTCTTCTGGAGGATAAAGAGCATGTCTCTCTCTCTCTCTCTCTCTCTCTCTCTCACACACACACACACACACGCACACGCACACAAAACGTGGCAGTGGTAAAGCATGATTCTGAGGCCCTTGATCCTTGGGGCTACCGAGAACGCTCCTGCAGGAGCGCTGAGCAGCTCTGGAAAGGGGGTGGCAAAGGAGAGAGGGCAATTAACGACTACATCCACCAGCACCTGCCTTCACTAGCCATTTCCTCAAAGCAACGGAAAGCTTCAGGTCGAGGCCTTCAGCCAAGAGAAGGAAGGAGGACCCCGCGGGCCGGCTAGTGCTGCAGGGAGGCGGCTAACCACAGGGTCAGCGAGGAGTCAGGAGAGAGGGCACAGGGCCTGCACCATTTCTGGGGGTCCCAGCCCCGGCCCGGACAGCCCTGCTCTCCAGTGCCCTGGCTCCGTCTCAGAGGGTCCGGGAGTTGGGCCGGGCTCTGGCGTAGCCTCGGTCACAGTTGGCAAACCTGGCCCCGGGACACCCAACACATGGATCTAGAGGGCCCCTTTCACGGCTGTGCCCGCGGGCGGGAACCAGTTTTTGGTATTATTCTGAGGTCACGCGACCTTCCGCCCTGGACGGGGTGGGGGGTGCCAACCCTGAGGCCACTCGGAGAGGTGAGGTCCACAGCTCCCCTGGGGGCGGCCTGCGGGGCACCCCACGCAGGGCCGAGGCCAAGGCCCCGGGGGTTAGCTGCGGAGCGACCACAGCATCAGCTGCAGCTCACAGAAAGCAGGTCTGGCCTCTCTGCTCCTGCTGGTGAAGGCAGCGTCATTTCCAGAATTTTTACAGTTCCAGGAAGGAGCGGATTTTCGGTTCTTCCCAGAGAACTGGATCCTAGGAGCCTAAAGGGGCTGGGAAGGCGGAGGGACCAAGGAGCTGCTTCTGAGGAGTGGGGAGGAAGTCCCTGCTTCAGGGCAGGAAGGGGATGGGGAGGGGAAGGCAGCCCTGAAAGGAGCCTGGACCCCCACTCGAGGGGAGGGGCCCCGTTGTCCTGAGCAGCAGCCCCGTCCACAGCCACAGGCGCTGCTCAGCCCGGGGCCCAAGCCCCCGACATTCACCTTCCTCTCCTAATTTCTCCTTCCATCTAAACTCCCCTCCGAATCCCTGTCAATCCGGACTCTGGGGGCCCCCCGACTGTGGCTCTCCTCAACTGTCTGACGGACCCAGGGCCCACGGGACAGCCTAGGGCCTCCCCCCCGCAGGCTGACGCTGGCAGACGAGGCACAAAGGGCACACGGAATAGAGGCAGGGGCAGGGCAGGGCACAGGTCACAGGGACCCGGGGCCACCTCGGTCCGGGCAGCGGGTGTTCCAGACCAGCTCCCAGCAAAGAGACAAAGCCCCAGAAGTTCGTTTCCAGGCCCCAAACGGCTGGCACCTCCCAGGCACCCTCTCTCAAATTATGGGGCAACTTTGAAGAGAGCGTGGGAGAAACACGACCAACGGCAAACACAGCCCTCTTTCCCCTGGATGGGCACCTTTCAAAGCGCTGAACGCATTCCGACTCACTTGAAACGGCCCTGGCACCTGCCGGGGCCAGGGTCCATAGGAGGCGGGGGGAGGGGGGGCGGGGTGCGGGGGCGCGCCAAGCACAGCTCAAAAGACAGCAGCACGGGTTTGTGCTTCTAGTGACAACCTATGCCAGCCCATGCCAGGTCCGTTCCCAAGGCTCTGAAAGAGCAAGCCGGCCTGAACTTGGCTTCCACACTGTGATTCCCTCCAGCAGTGGAAAGCACAGGCTTCCCCACGAGGGCTGTGAGGGTGCCAGCCTGTGGGTGGCCACGAGGTCCGACAAGCCCAGTGAGCACCCTAAAACTGCCTACACCCCAGCCTGCAGGAAGGAAACACCAAAGCCAGGCCTTCGGGACCTGCCTATGAAACAGAGGAAGCAGCAGCAGCAGATCAGGCCTTCAATGGCCCGGAGCAGCAAGGCTCCCCCAAGACTGGGGGTGGAGGGTGGTGCCCGTCCTGGCAGCCACCGGGCAGCTCCAGGCTGGTCGGCTGGGAGGTCCCTGCAGACAGGGGCCCCCGGGGGGGGGGGCACCCAGAGCAAACAGCTGAGCCCAGGGGGTCTGCCCCCAGCAGCATCCCACCTTTGCCCTGACCCCAGCCCTCCCCACTCCCCACCCCCCACCCCACAGAGGCCTAGGCCCGGAGACCCCCACAACATGGACCCAGCGTCCAGGGCACAGCCAGCCTGCAGCTATAGCAACCTCCACCTTTGGACTCATTCTGTTTGGTGACCCCCGACTCCTGCACACAGACGGGACCCATAAAGCCTGTCACCTCCAGAAAAGCCCGCCCACGGATCCTCCTGGGCTTGATGGGGTCCTTGGGAGAGAAACCAAGGCTCAGAGGATGCTGAGGGTGCGGCGTCTCTCAGCCTGGGCGCAGGGTGAGGGCTGGAAACTTTCCGGGTAAGAGGACCGTCCCGTGGGCTCCTTCCGAAAGAGCAAGAGACGCGGCTTCCCGCGAAAACCAGGAAAGGGATCCCAGGCTTAGGCTGCCCACCCGGCCGGGACCCGGCTGCACCCACGTGCCGGCCCGAACCCCTCGCGGGCGCGCGGGGCTGGGGGCCGGGGCTCGGGGCCGGCGGCCGGCCCAGGCGCACCTCTTCCCCCGGCCCGGCGGCGCGTACTCACCCCGGCGGGTGGGGCGGGGCGGGGCGGGCGGGTGGCTCCGCGCGACTCCGATCCGCTAGGCGCGCGGCGGGCGCACAGGCTGGCCGCTCGTCGGATCCCAGTCCCGGGCGCGGGGCCGGGGGCCGGGCCGGGCAGGGCGGGGCGGGGACGCCCCGGACACGCGTGCGCACAGCGCCAGGCGCGGGTGAGGAGCGGGCGGGCCTGGGAGGAAGGAGGGGAGGAGGAGGAAGGGCTGGGCGATAGCGCGGGCGGGGCCGCGGTGGACGGCGGGCGGTGGCGATGCGGTAGGGGCGCCGGGCCGGGGAGGGTGTAAAGAGAGAGCCCGGAGCTGCCCGAGAACGGCGCCGGGATGGATATACCCGCGCGGCCCCCGCACAGCCTCCCCGGAACAATGAGCCCCAACAAAGGGTTCTCCGCTCTCCCACGCGGTGAGCCTCGTCCTCCCGCTCTCGGGGCAGTGAGGCAGGAAGAGGCGGCCTTGCTCCGTGAGGCCGCCCGCTGGTGCACAGCAGCCAACTGCCCTGGACCGAGACCCGGGCCCTGCGTCTGCCTTGGCCTGAACCTGCGGTCCCCACACTGTCCCCTCTCCCTACGCCTCTTTTGCATGCCCTGTCTTGCCTTGGAGACGCTTCTCAGTTTCTGTTCCTTGGGAAAGAGGAAGGCGCCAGGCATCCCGTCTCCAGGGGGAACCTCATCAGGCCGTGACCCTAGTTCGCTGGGTCCAGACATCTCCCCCGTCAAACCTGGGAACTCGTCCGGCTGAAGGACAGCAGTCCAGCAGCCGCCTGCATGACCACCCACAGCCCCACGTTCGTCGGTGAACAGCGTTCACTGGGCCCCGGTGTGGGCAGCCTGGTGCCTCCTGGAAGCTCACCATCCAGCTCGGAGAGGAGACTGGGCCCTGATTGTAGGGTGGGGGGGCCTGGTGCCTCCTGGCTCCCTCCAGCTCGGAGAGGAGACTGGGCCCTGACCTTGTAGCCGGGTGGGATGGTGACCTCCTGCAAAGCGAAAGGTCACTGGTTTCTCTCGCACACTGTTTCTCTGTCTCCATTCCCCTCCCTCTAAAAATAAATACAGTCTTAAAAAGAAGAAAAAAGGGGCAGAGCAGGATGTGACTAAGTGTAAAGAGTAACTGACAGTGAGTGCAAATCGGTTCAGAGAATTAGCAGCTCAAGACTCACTTTCAGCTGACCCTGGCGGTGCGCAAAGTGCTGGCGGCGCCGGCGGAGAGCGGCCCCACGCCCTTCCGCAGGGGAGTCGGTGTTCATCCCAAGCCATACCTTGCGTGGTTCTTGTTTCACTTCATCAATGTCTTCCTCGTGTTTGAATAGTGCCTTTGGTGTTGTCAGTCAAGCATTCATTCAACAAATATTTAATGCTAACAAATATTTACTGCTAACGTTAAGCTCGCTAGAAAGAACGCGATGACTCAAGCCCTTGCCCGTAGCAGCGCTGGAGGGAGAGGGGAGGCCTTCCCACCGCCCAGGTGGGGAAGCCGGCCCGCAGCCGCGCAGGGGGCGGACGGAGCTGAACGGAGAATCAGCCCAGCTTTGTTTTAAGTTTAATTTTTTTATTGGATTTTTTCCCCCATTACCATTTAGTCCCCTTATACCCTCCTCCCTAGAGCTAATCAGTTTGCAATTCTTGCTATGATCCACGTAAACTTTACCCTGCCCGGAAGTGGAACTGAAGGGCCACCTCCGGCTCCTGAGGACCTGAATGACAACTCCATCTCTGTCACTGGGTCGCTTTAATTCCCTTACTGGGAAAAAAAGGAAGTAACTGCTAGTCAAAGGGGTATTGTTGGTATTCAATCAGGCAATGGATATGAACTTGCCCTGAACGTATAATGTGTTATAGAAGTGGGAGCTGTTATTGGGCAGGTGGATCCCTCCCTCTAACCAATAAGCTACACTTAGATCTCTTCCGACCCCCACCCACCACACAGAGGGTACCCCGGCTTGGTTCCTAGGAGCCTCAGAAGCCAGTAACTGCAATTCTGACTCCTCCCCTCGGGCCACCGCGTGCTTGTGCACGATCTTTCCCCTCTAGTTTCTAAAAGGCTCAGACTAGACACTTAGTTATCTGCCTAGAAGCCTTATCATCTGTGGGGCAGGTGGAAGGGGTTCTGCTGCCTTCAACCCCAGGGGCTGGGCCCTGGAGCCCCACAGCTCCACTGCGCCCTTTTGGCCCTTTTGCACGATACCGTGGGCAGCTCAGTAAGAGGCCGAGCGATAAGGCTGGCTGTGCCAGGAGTGGGTTAAGAGGAGGAACGGCCGCCTGGGTCCTCTTCTGAGCCATGCTGCCTCCATTCCCATTTCCTCTGCCTCTGTTTACCTCGCTGAGTCTGTCTCCGCTGTGGAGGAAGTGGAGGGCACCTCTCTGCTAGTGGGTAGGAGCAGAGGGAGAAGACAGAGGAGCAAGGTGCCTGGGATGGGCAGGTAGCTCTGCAGCTGGGCAGCCCCGGCTGGGAGGCAGCGGGTGTGGGCAGGAGGCTCAGAGGCCTTGACAAGTGTGCCTGGCCGGCTTTGGCTCCTGTCCCTCACATGTGCCACGTTAGCATCCTGCCCACCCGGAGGAGGGAACAGCAAGATGCTGTTTGAGGAAGAAATAAACCCAATCCAGCATCTCAGACGCTTTTAAAAATAGCAACTCCGGGATAGTATTTCAGCTCCTATTTTTATCAGATTTACATGGCTGGACCATGGAGCGGAGCTGTTCCCAGGGTTCTCAATAGCAGGGACATCACTGTTGTCGTCTTAGCAACCTGCCCGTTGGCCGAGGCGAAAATGCATTCCAGGAACCTCTGAGCTGCGAGAGATCCCGGGAAGTCACTGCACCCAGCCCTGGTCTCTGTGGAGGGCCACGAACAATGCACCACAGCGAGTTTACGGCTTGCTTCTCGCCTTAAAAGTCTCTTGGCTGCCCTGACTCCACTGCATAATCCAGGATTACACAGCCTTTTCGTCAGGAAGTTCTTTTTAATATCTAGCCCAAATCTCTCTGGTGACATCCCTTTTGGCCTTTTTCACAGCAGGAAAATAGCAGCGAGTATTTACTGTGCGATTACTATGTCCATTAAATCCTCATGTAATCCTCACGAAAACCTTTAGGAGTAGCACAGTTTCGCCTCCCAATTTCAGAACAGTTACGTAACTTGTCCCAGCTGATACTTGCTTAGGGTGCAAGCTCTGTACCAGAACCCTCGGACCACCTTGCCTCTCAAGCAGAGGGGGAACGCGCCGTTAAGAAATGTCTTGTTAAATAAGTAAATACATAAAATAAGGTGAAAAAAAAAAAAAAAGAAATGTCGTTAGCCCTGACTGGTGTGGCTCAGCTGGTTGGGCGTCGTCCTGGAAACCAAAAGGCCACCGTGTTCGACTCCTGGTCAGGTTACATGGTCCCTGGCTGGGGCGTCTATGAGAGGCAACTGATCGGTGCTTCTCTCTCACACCAATGTTTCCCTCCCTCTCTTCTTCCTTCCCTTCCCCTCTCTCAAAATAAATAAAATAAAATCTTTAAGAAGAAAAAAGAAGGAAGCCTTGGGGTGTTCACCTTAGGCTCATTTGAATTAAGTATGGTACACAGGAGGGCTTCAGGAAGGGGCCCGTCGGCGAGACATGCCTTGTACCCCATTGTTTCTGAGCTCCCTGGGAAGAATTTGCCCATTCTCACTTCTGATATCAAATACCCCCAAGTCCCCCTTTTCTCCTGTGCCCAAAGAAAGGATCCTATGTACCAGATGATGCCTGTCTTTGGACTTTTCATGCTGCTATGAATCCCCCATGTGCATGTATTAAAATTTGACGTTCTCCTGTTAATCTGTCCCTCTAATTTGATTAGCTCTGCTAGAACAACCTAGCAGGTGGGAGGGAAAGCGTGTGTGTGTGTGTGCGCTCGCGCGCGCGCATCATTAACCTTGACTTTCATTTCTTCATCACAGGAAGGGGAATGGAAAACTGGCCCGCGGGCTGCCTGTGTGCGCCCCATGCAAGAAGCGAGTCGCTGGGTCCCCGCCGTGCTGAGCCCCGGGCGCCGAGCTGCTGGGCCTTGGCTGTGCGGGCCCTTTGGCCACGGTGTGGACGGTTGGCTTCTCGCAGCGTGAGCTCCCCTGGCTCCCTCTGCTTTTCTTCAAGGCAGTCACCACTCTTGTAATTAGTCTGTAATTAACGCCTCACTAAATTGGAAGTGTCATGTGAGCTCTATCTCCAGATTTTTGCTTTAAAAAAGAAAACTAGGGTGGATGTTCAAAACCCGTTTATTAAACTGAAATACTTTAAACAGATTCAGTCCATGCTTATTTTTTTTAACGGTGGTTAAAACTGGAGAGCTCCAAGTTTATGTAGATTTCAGAATCCAATGTGATTTCAATAATAATAATAATAGAGCAAACATAGGGTTGTCAACATTTATTTTGCTAAGTGAGGATATTTGAAACACAATAGCCATTAATCATCACTGGCTTCTTATAAAAGAAAATACATTTTAACATTATATATATACATGTTTGAAATAAACATTTAGTCCTTCCTGAAAGGGAAGAGTTAACAGACCTATGTCAACCTATTCAGAAGGAAGACAGATACATTACAATGTTTGGATATGTAAGTGTTACAAGAGAAACACCTTCAAATTTTATTTTGTATGTAATTGTTTCTTGATTTCTCAATTTGGGGATTTGTATTCCACAGAGGCATGCCAAGTGGAATTTAGATGTCCAACTCATTTCAAAATGTTATTTTTCTGTTTCATGAAGGAATGTTGACTAATAGAGAACAGTCAGCAATTTTGCTACATGAGGAATGTTTTGGGCAAACTGAGAGGAGCCCGGGAACAATAGCAGTCGAGCCTCCAACTGCTCCGCTCCTTCTCCAACAGAGCCAGGAAGAGACTGGGCTGAGGACAGGGCTGGCAGCCAGCTATGTAGCCCCCAGGACTGCTTTGGGGAGGGTGACATCTGCCACTGCGCCAGCAGAGCTCAGACGCAGGCACACACATTACTGTCACGCAGTCACATAGATGTACCACATGGCCAGAGTGGCTGGTATGTGCCACTCGGTCAGTGTGGGGCTCAGGAATACTCAGTCTCACTCGGGAAGCTCTCAGGGGAGGCAGGACGTTGGGTTCTGCTAAGAAATGAGAAGGAAGCGTAAGGCCGAAGAGTGGCTCTTACGCTGCATCCCCTGGGCTGAGATCCAGGCTACCTGGATCCAGAGCCTGGCTCCTTAGTTGCAGGTGAAAGCCCTCAGGGGGTTGTTCAATGGCCGCCACCTGCTCCCGGCCCACAGCGCCTCCGGCCCCTGAGGCCCCTAGGAAGAGAGACTCTCTAGACAGGACAAGGAGGCGGACTGTGTGGTCAGAAAGGGAGGACACCAGCTTCGAGCCCTCCGTGAGCTCAGAGGTGGTGTGACCGGGTTCTTCCCCGCAGCTCTTCAGGAGCCCCAGGGTTCAGGTAAGACGGCCTTGCCGCAAAGGGACTGTTGCAGGTGGCGACAAAGGCCGCGAGCTGAGAGGAGTCAGCAGGCTCCATCATGGCCCGCTGCCCACCTGAGCAGCTGTTTAACGGAGTAAAAGGAAATACTCCGGTGGCCCCAGGTGGGGTTTCTGGGGGCGGGGGGCTGAACTTGTGTGGAGCAGTTTCCAGCTTGTGCGAATGCTCCCCGCGACCCCCGGGTCTAGGTTGCTCCCAAGCAGGCGCCGGGGGAAGAGCCGAGCCTGGCCCTCTGCGAGAGGGGTTGGTCCTGACACCCAGGCACCAGCTCGGACCCCAGCACGGCACGGGGCAGAGCCGGGCCTCCCTCCGGAACAGTCCCACGAATGCCCCTGCTCCTGGAGGGCGCCACGGATCTTCCTGTTCCCTCATCGCCCTGGACTTCCCGCCCGCCCCTGCCAGACTCCAGTGGAAGCCTGACAGGCAGCTGAGTAAACCGGTGAAGGGGAGATGGGGCTAGGGAGTGGCGACTGGAGAGGCGGGGGACACCTTCCCAGGGCGGAGCTCCAGGGAGGAGGAGGCCTGTCTCCTGGGAGGCCCCGCTGCCTTCCTCCCGGTTCCGGCTGAGTCACCTACAACCTCTGCCTGAAGCCAGATGAGACCCCCATTGAGAGACCGTGATCTTTCGAGAAGACACTCCCAGGACTGGGTCCCTGCGCTCTGCAAGGAGGGGCCTCTCTGTGTTAGCGTCTACTCTGCTGCTCCTCTCAGCATTTGTCCTCACGACAGTTCAGAGGGGTCTACTCTTCAGACCTCCATACACGTGTTTTCCTCATACGTACAGAAAAGACAGGCTGGGGCTCCCCTCCAGGCCGGCTGGTTCCACCGCTGCCATTGTCACCTGAGAAGGAGAGCAGGTGCCTACCCCACTGTCACACCCCACCCCCACCCCAGCCCCCCAAGGCCTCCCCACCCCTGAGGCCTTACTCCATCTCCGGGTGTCCGACCCTGCGGTGACGCTGGGACACACTGGAAGAGGAAGAGTTGCCTTGGCCCACACATTAAATACAGCATGACATGTAATCACAAAAAAGCCTCGTAAGGTTTTAAGTGAATATATGATTTTGTGTCGGGCCCCATGCATGGCCATGCTTGCCGCCCGCGGGCTGGATGCCCCCCTGTCCTGCGGGAGGCACACCGGGTGGGCCAGTGCGCTGGGCAAGGCCACGCCCCAGCGCCTGCTGCACCTCCCTACTCTTTACACCAGGCTCCCTCATACCTGTATTCAAAGCAGCTTCCCCAAAGGCCGTCTGTTTTCACGCCTCTGTTCACCTGTCCGCCCCACTAGCCAGAGGGGAAGCACCTTGCCTTAGTTGTCTTTGTGTCCCGGACACCCAGGGTCCCATCTGGCTCAAGAGTCAATCGATCAGCAAGCTGTCGCTTGGGACAAGGCTTCACTCTCACCTGACACACAGCAGGGGATGTGGCGGATCCTCACCTCTCCTCCTGTTTACAAAGCGGCAGCCTCAGCGCGCCTGTGGGTGAATGCCAGCTCCACAAGGAGAGCCTGCTGGCCACTGGGTCACCAGTCACCAGGATCTAGGGCAGCGCCTCGCCTATAATCTGTGCTCAGTAAACATTCGACGAATGAATGAATGGAGTGCAGAGGCCAAGCCGGGGCCGGTGCCCTCAGGCCTGGCCAGCACTGACCAGCCCCCCGGCACTGTGACGCACCCATCTTCTGTGCTGGAGAGCACCATGTGCTTACTCGTGTGCCTTCGACATGCATGCCCGCGTCCCTGCTCTGCTGGACCCTTCCAGCAGAGCAGGGACCCTGCACCACCCTTTGCAGCCTGACATGCCTGTGCTGGCTCCTTTCAGGCCATCGGCCTGTAGTCCCTTCTGAAGTCCCTTCTTGGCCTTGAGATCGTAGGAACAGGGGCCTGTGACGCAGGTCACACCTTGGACCTAAGCCACGGCACCCGTGTTATTTTGTCCTTGCTGGTGCATTGTTTTGTACGTGATCTTCTGGCTGCTCCTGCAAGTTTGTTTTGTCTTCTTGCCGAGACAATAACCTCAAGGCCGGGGACTCGCGGACCAAGTAACAGGGATGAAGGCAGGCTTTTTGGGCATGCGTCGCGATTCTTACTAAAACCCTTCCCTGTCTGGGGGGGGCAATCCTTCATCTTTGTCAACAAGTTTATCAGCAGGGTTGACTCACCCCGGGAGGGGCGACCTCAATGCTGGGAATGAAAGAGGAAGTGCCATCAAAAAACGCTATAGATTATTTCCAGAGTTTTCATGTTTGGTTTTTAGGGTCACTCCATCAGGAAGGAAGAAGAGGGACATGGCAGTAGAATCAGGACGAAAAACAGGGAGAGGCACAGTCCACTCCCGGACACAGAAATTGCAGGGATGGGTGTACAGGATCTGCAGTCTGGCCTGGCAGCCTGCCAGGTCCCTAGGCCCCGCCCCCCGCCCGCCGCAGACCTCCCTTCTCAAGGCCTTCCCGGCTCTGCCCTCTCCACCTGCCTCAGCACCAGCCCCCCAGGCGGCCCCGTCAGTCCACACCAAATGAGACCAATGCTTTATTCACATACTAGAAATAAGCCAGTACAAAACACATTAAAAAATGGTAATTTGGTGCTAAAAATCCCCTCCACGCAGCCCCACATATCTGTGTTCTCTTCCGGGCAGCCCTGGGTGGACTCAGCTCTTCTGGGCCTCCTGCAAGAGCTTGAGCAGGGGGTCATCCGCCCTGAGGGCAAAGGTGAGGGTGCGCTCCCGGTAGTACTCGGGGTCTCGCTCCAGGTTCTCGATCACCTCTGCCAGCAGGTGCGCCCGCTCCACCCCGGCGCCAGGGGCCTCAAAGCCCAGGGCTGTGAAGTGCACGTGCAGGTGGTAGTAGGAGGGCAGGTAGTGCAGGTACACGCGGAGGCGGTCCCCCTTCACCTGGTAGCGCTGCAGGATGGCTTCCTGGTGAGAAGGGCGGCAGCAGGGAAGGGGTCACTGTGCTGCCCGTGAACCGGCCCAGGCCCTCCTCCGGCCCTAATCCCAGGCCAGCCTCTGGGCATTTAATAAATGCCCTCTAAATAGCCCTCTGTGCACGCTGTGCTTCAGGTCCCTGTCTTCTTTCTAAGGATCAGCAAACGCAGGTGACAGCACCAAAGCTGAGGCCCTTTCTCCCAAGGAAGGGGAGGGACAGTGGCCTGGATCAGGGTTTCCCTCTCCAACCCAGGTAAAACATTTGCTTCCTCAAGCAGCTGCTGCTGGGAGTCCCAAGAGTCTCAGGGCCTAAGGGTAGGCCCCACAGACCCGACTGGGGATGACCTGTGAACATTCACAGCACCAGGTGGGTGGGAGGAAGCCCGTCCCCCCTCAGCAAGCGATCCAGCCCAGCTGGGAAACAATGAGCCAGGGCCTGAGAGAGGGGAAAGGATGGGGCGGGGGCCGGCTGGGAGAGCCCTGACTCAGGCCCCGCCTCCCGGGGCCCCGCCTCCCCGGCCCCGCCTGGCTCAGGGCAGGACTTTTTCTGCCCACCCCTGTTCCAGAGCCTCCAAGGCTTGGCGTTCAAGAGCAGACTCTGGTTTCCATTGTGGGCAAATCCCTAGGGGAGTCAGAGGTGAGGGGAAAAAAGAAGGGCCTCAGTGGGCTTGGAACACACCCCAGAACTGTGCTCCGTGCTCGGGGCTCACCCTGGGGGGCTCTGCAGCAGGGCGGGGCCGGGGCCAGGGCTCCCAAAGGGCTTCCTGGGACAGCAGGGCGAGGCTGCCAGAACTGCCAGGGCAGGTGAACATGCTGGCCAGGCATCTCCTCGAAAGACAGGCGCCACTCTCTGCCACCAGCAGGTGTTTGAGGAGAGCAGCGAGTTACTCCAAACAAGGGCAGGCGGCCAGAGAGAGGGCACTGGGGTCTGGAGGGAGAGGGGGCGGCGAGGGCACCGACAGGGAGCTGGGTCCCGAGGCCAACGAGCGCCTGGGCAGGGCCCTCCTCCCTGTGCATGCCCGCCTCACCGCAGCCCTTGCTGAGAGGAGCACCCATGACTGCAGGGCCCGGGCATGGGCCCTATGTGGGGGGCCTCCCAATGCCCCACAGCGGGAAGAAGCCTGAGAGCCGCCCTACCGAACGGAGGTTCCAGAAGGGCCCCACCCGGCACCCAGGCCCAGGGAGGCGGGGCGCAAGGGCAGCCAGCTGGCTTGGGTCAGGGCGCCAGTCAGGGCCGCCGCCCCAGATTCTCCACGCATCGTCCCTCGCCTCGGGCTCCTTTCAGCTCCTCTCTAACTTCATTCAATTCTGTGAACAGCCCAGACAGAGGGTCTCCCTGAAGACCAGGTGCTGGAGAATGCAGTCCCTGCCCTCCGGCTGGGTGAGGAGGTCCCTGCCTTCCTGTAGCAGAGGCTGCGACCCAGCCACCCAAGAAACACGGCTGCCTGACAGGCTGTCATGAGCGAGGCGGGCGGTCCTGGGATGGGCGGGCGTCCCAGGCGGGGCCTGCCGGAGAAAGGCGGGGGCCAAAGTGGGGGCCAATGACGGGGAGGACAAGCGCAGGGAGAGGGTGCGTGGCTGAGCGGAGAGTGGGAGGCTGGGCAGGACCAGGCAGCGGGGCCTTGCGGGTCCACCTGAAGAGCCTGTGTGTAGCCCCCACTGACATCCAGAAAGAAGCCCCCGTCGCAGACCTGCTGGGAAGGGTGAGGAAAGCGGTAGAGGGAGCACACGGAAATCGGAGTGTGGTCACTCTGGGCTTCGAGGCGATTCGGCCAGGGCAACTCACCTGCCCCTCCCGGAGGATGTTCCTGAGCAGCGGCAGGTGCTCTGCAGTGAGGTCCCGAAGCGACCTGATGCCCCGGCGATGACAGATGGCGATCAGGTACAGGTCATCGAGCTGCAGAGGCCAGGGGTGAACCAGGCTCAGCAGGTGACAGAACCAGCCCTAGCCAGCCCCACGGGCCCACAGCAGGACCGACCCCCCGACAGCGTAGGAATCCACAGGCCCCCGGTGCATGAGATGGGGCGACCCAAAGAACAGAACGTCTGTTTATGCCTCCTGCTAAAGACTGGCAGAGTGGAGTACTTCTGTGCCCACAAGGCTGGTGGGGTCCACGAAAGGGCCAAGGACGGCTCTTTCCTCCAAGAGCTTACGGCCTGATCGCACTCACACGAGTAACTACTGTAAGACATGAAGCAATCAGAGTACATACAGGAGGAAGAAGGAAAGACTGCTAGCAAGGGCTATCCAGAGAGGCTCCTGGGAAGAGAAGGCAGGGGACCTGGGTCTTCAAGATGTGAGCTCAGAGAAAGAGCATTCAGGTTGAGGAACAGGGGGAGCAAAGGCTCAGAGGCAGGAAGGCAGAGGGCCTGCAAGGGGAGAGCAAAGAACCCGACTTATCTGGAGGCCTGTGGGAGGCACGGGAGGGGTATGCAGGCTGGAAAGGGAGCCTGGGGCCAGCTCGTCAGCAAGAGCTGGCAGAGCCTGATTCACCTTTTCCTCTCTTTCCCCACCTCCCAGGGCTCACAGGCAGCCATTCCCACTGTCCTTCCGGAAAATAGCCCCTGGCCAAAACCCTGTGTTCACAATAGTACAAAGAACTGAAGCCAACAAGACCTTGCTCAGGACAGCAAATGAACTCTTCCTCTGGCCCAGGCAACGCCCTTCCCTCCCTGCTCACCCAAACCTGGCCTGGGCTGGTTACCATGTTCCCGGGGTGAGGCAGCCCCAGACACCAGGGCTCCGTGGGTGAGGCCCGGGGAGATCCCAGCAGCCCTCAGCCCTGCAGTCTGTGTTGCTGGTTCCTCAACGAGATAATCCGGCCACCATGAGTCACCCGGCCGACTCCTGGAGAGCCCCGATTTAAAGTGAGAATGAGATTTCCCACATGGTACCCGATGTCCAGCTGTGCTTCTTCCTGCCAGACATTCTTCTCTGCCAGGGGGAGCCTCATGGCAGACGGCAAAGCTGTGCCCACCCAGGCCTCAGTTGTGCCCCACAAGTCCCTTCTGTGCTCTCCCTTCTCATGACATGTGTCCAAAACATTTACTCTCTCACTAGTTAGAGGACCAAGAAGAAGCCAGAAAACAAAACTGTTTAAGCGTGGGGAGGGGTGGGGGATGGGGTGTTGTGTGTGTGTGTGTGTGTGTGTGTGTGTGTGTATGAATGTCTCCAGCTGCTCCATGTGTCACCATCATAGGACAACCAAAGAATAATAGCATTTGTTTTAAATGGTGTCTGCTGACAAGTCCCAAACGCGACATTAAGTCATACCTCTCTGCTTCAGGGGCGCAGAGGGAGGAGCGACGCCTGGGGCTGGGTGTCAGCTCATGGGCTGGGGAGGGAGGGAAGGGAGCCCTTCTTTGGTATCAGACCTTACCCCAGATTCCTGCGGCCGTCAAAGGCCTCCGGCCCTGATCTGAATGGTCTGAAAAGGCTAGACGAGGGGCTGGTGAGGCACCCCAGAACGGCCCATGCCCCTCTCAGATTGGCACCCCAGAAGGTGGCCCATGCGTCACGCTGGGGGAGACACCATCAATCTCTTTTTACAAGGCAGGACAGCGCAATCAATGTAACAGCTTTCTGGCAAGAAGCAAGACAGACTGGCTGGAGCTTTGGAGAGCCAACCCTCCCCGCCTCTGGAGTGACCCAAAGGGACAGCCTCCTGGTCTGAGAACCTTAGACCAAAGAACCTAAACTCCATGAACTGAAAGTGTGTGCCTAGATCAACACAAATGTACACATATGCTTTTATATACACACACATAAAAAAATATGCGAAGACTCTCTCTGGAAGGACAGAGAACTCCTCTCTTCTGGGGCAGGGACATGGAGGGAACTCACTTTCACTGCGCACCCTTCTCACTGCCTGCATTTTTACTGTGTGCACGGTTAAACCAGGCTGACAGAAAAACAAGCAAATAAAACATACAGATATTCTCTTCACGAGAGTTGAGGAAGGGATGTTATAACCTTGAGAAAGGCAGTGTATCTAGCAAACATTAGGGGTTTGATAAATATTTGTGGAATGGATGGGTGGATGGATGGACAGATGAACACAGAGTCTCCCTAATCCTCAGCCATCCGTTGGGGGCCACATAAATACATATGAATCATGTAAAGATACACGTCTGGGAGAAACAGCAGCAGCAGGAGATCCCAGGCAACGAGGAAGGCTCCTCGGAGAAAATGCCAGGCACCCCTCCCTCCTTCCTTGCGGCGGCTGTGAGGGAAGGACAGAAGTCCAGCCCAGCCTGGTTCCCTGCGGGACACACTGCCTAACTGTCAGGGAACTGTCAATTTTGGTGTTCTGTCACAGATCAAGGATTTGAGACAATGACATATGGAACTGCCGAGACCAGGGCTAATTAAGCAAAGGTTAAGAACAACGGCCCCTATGCCGCCACCCAGGAGGGCCTGACATTTTAGCTTGCCCACCCAGGGCCACTGAGGGGAAGTCCAGACATGCCGCTGGAAGCCCAGTGCAGTTCCTGAAGCCCTTCCTGTGTTCAAGGGAACCGAGAGAGGGCGCTTCCACTGGCCAGCCGGGCAGGACGCCCGCCAGCACCAGGGCAGGAGAACACTGGTTTCCGTCCTCAGGGCCATGGGTCGAGCGTGTCAGGGCTTCCAGAGCGGAGACGCAGGAGTCTGCTGCCTTCTGCTGTCTGCCCTCAGACCACCCCCCTGCCCCCGCCCATGCCAATCACAAGCTCCCCAGGCTTCATGGATCTTGTGAGTCAGAGGTTCCTCCTACCCCACCCCCACCCCGACCCCCGTGACCCTGTGCGCCACCCAGGACCTCCAGGCACAGGGCTGCTAGGGGGCAGCCGGGGTTTGGGGAGCGGCACGGATGCAGCGTCCAGAGCTGCCACTGCTCCCCCCAGGACCTTGTCCCCGCTCTGCCGCCATCTCCAGAGCCAGTCCCGGCTTCCTGCATGGAGGCCAGAGGCGGGGACGAGATGCAGGGAGCGCAGGTGTTCTCTCAGCCTTTCTCTCCGACAGCACCCCACACTTCGATTTCAGCTGGCTCGAACAGATCGCGCGGCGCTCCGACTTCTGGAAACTCCCTTCGAATTCCCTGCCACCCTCTGAGCCATGCTCAGGCCTCTAGGACGAGACAGCTCGCACTCACTTGCCTGTGTGCCTCTGAGCTGAGACGCTGGCCCTTGCCCCAACCACAGGCTCCCAGCCCCCTTTTCTGGCAGAGAAGGAGCGCACAGCAGGTCTGGAAATCGCCAAAGCAAAACCAAGCACACGGCAGGCGGGCTCAGCGAGGACCCAAAGGCCTAACGAGCAGGCAAAGATGGAGGGCGCCCAAGGCAAGGTAGACGGAGCCCGGACCTTAGGGCAATGCCTCTGCCTGGCTCATGACTGAGTGAGGAGCACAAAAACCTGAGGGACCCCCAAAAAAGCAGAATGGGAACCTGAGCTTGGAATATGCACAAGAGAAGAGAGGCATTTGCCTAGTCCCTGCCTCCTACTCAGCAGTCCCACCTCTGGCTTCCTTGGCCTTCCCCTGGCCCCTCACCTGCTGTGGTGGGAACAGCACTTCCTGTAAGAAGCATCTCTGACCTGCCCGGTGTGGTCAGGGCGTGCAGGCCCCCTGCAGAGGGGGCGGTGCATTCTGATTTGTAATGGGCAGATGCAGGGAGGGAGGATGGGGAAAGACAGGGCGCTGGAGAGGCCAGTGTGAGAGTTGGTGGCTCTGCTGGAGACCCGCTCCCTAGCAGGCGAGGAGAAAGCACTGGCGCACGGAGCCCAGGAAACAAAGCTGAGAGGCTCAGGGGCTGGAGAGGCTGCCAGCAGCCCTCCTCTGTGCCTAGGGCGGTGTCAGGGACACCAGGCTGTTCCCCATGTTCGCTGCCTGTCACCGCTTCAGACCACGGGCCTGCTGGGATCTGCAGGGGTGGCTAGGGGGAACGGAGAAAAGCAAACGGTCCACCACGGGGCTCCAGAAGGTGAGAGCGGCCACCCAAGCCGCTTGGCTGGCTAAAGAGTGGCCCATGTGGTGACGCGAACATTGCCTCACTCCCCTCACACCCATACACAGTGCGGAGGGCAGCTGGGGGACACAGAAAGGGCTTTAAATTGACCCGTTCAAGTATAAACATTTGTGAGTGACAGGTATGCACTAGCACTGCGGAGCTCAGACCTCTCTCCGCCGGTTAATTACAATCTGCTCAGAGACTGGGAGGCCAGCAGGAGAAAGAAGGGTGGGACTGAGGCGGGCCAGCAGCCTGGGGCAGGGTGCCTGAGAGCAGAGTCCCGGCGGGGAGTCTCTTACCTGCTGTTGGTTCCACTTGAGGTCTGGAATGAGGACAAAGCCGTCGGAGGGGTCTGGGTTCTCAAAGACAATCCGGTCGGCTTCTGCCTTCTTGTCGAGAATGTTGTATACCCACTGGAAGGACACGGAGAGAGAGGGGTTCAAATCCATCACCGCCCCTTGGGGGGACTCCCCAGACAGGGCTAGGGCAGCTCCCAGCAGGGCCTGCCACCGACCTCAGGGGATCTACCCACAGGCTGCCCAGTGAGCGCAGGTCTCCACGGGCTCCGTCCGCATTATGCAGGCCACAGCACGTGATCGGGCCGGAGCATCCCGCTGTGGAGAAGCTGCCTCCATGCCGGGCAGGGAAAGGCGTAGGTTCTAGAAAGTAATATATGTGGGTTTCCCACCCTCACCCCTGCCGGGGATTCTCATTGTGCTTGGATAAGTACCTCTGCTCACCTGGAGCCACAGCGGTGCCAGCTGACATGGCCCCTGCGTGACAAAGCAGACCCGAAGGCCACCTTGCCAACCAGGACTTCCGGCCCTCCCACACACCTCTGATCTGCTGCAGTCCGCAAGGTTCAGGGAGCCCTTCCGTGGGCACTGCGTGGGTCCCAAGGATATCACTTTACAAGGAAGGTCTGGGCGGCCTTTCTAAAGCAGCCTCCTGCAGGGAGGTTACGCTAAGGCCCCTGACCTCACGGGGCTCAGACCCTCAGACCTCAGACCTCGGCACTGCGCCCTCCCCCCAGCTCCGAGCACCCTCTGCAAAGGGGAGGAGCCCTGACGGAAAGCTGGACAGATGGCAGTGCTGGCTCACGCTGCTGCCCACCCGCCTCCCAGTCACAGCAGGTGGGGAGGCTAGGGCACTGACACCGCCAGAGAGGGGGCCCCTCTGCCCACTCCCAGAAGAGTGGCACAGGCAGTGGCAGCAAAGGCCAGGGTCGGGGCTGGTTCGGTCGCCACGCCTCACCCACCATGTCCGCATCCTTGGCTCTCCTCAGTGCTTGGCCAACACGCCAAGGTCAAGTGTGGCTACATGAGGTGAAGAGTTTGGGAGCAGAGGGTACCTGCCTGCAAACAGCTGGCCTACCAGGCGCCCCAGGAAGACCCACAGACCGGTTCCATGCAGTCCACCCACTACAGAGAAGAAAGGCCCATACTTCCCCAGAAAAGCCTGGCTGCCCCGTTCCCTGGGAGAGGTCCAGAGGATAAAGGGACCCAACCTTCTGCTTTTGGAACATTGATCTTCAAGCTGGTAATTAAGAAACAAGACTCAGAAATAAACTTTGACCTCCCTCCTTTCCTGCCTAAGAGATGCAGAGAGTAAAATCTATCCAAGAATGAAACCTTAGGCTGTTCGCCTTAGCAGCCGTATCTGAATTGAGTATGGCAGGTGGAGGCCCCAAGTCCAACTGGGGGAAGGAAGAGGACGACAGCAAGGATGGAGGTGGTGGGGATCGACGGGCAAGACTGAGGCCGGTGCGAGGGTGGAGGAGGGGGTGGTGAGCGCAGCGCCGGGCCAGGCTCCAGTGCCTCACGGGACTGTCCTCGGAGCAATCCTGGGAATTTGGGGCCGTGAACACTCTGTTTTGCAAAGGAAAGAGCAGGGGTGAGAAGTTCATACAGTTCTAAGCCAGAGCATGGTCTCGGACCCCATGCCCCAGGCCATGTGGGAAAGGCCTCTGGGAGAGCAGGAGGGACCGAAATCCACATGCAGTCTCGGGCCAGAGCGTCACATGAGAAAAGGAGAAGCAGGGAAAAGAACTCACACAAAGCCTAGGGGTTCCGCAGCAGGGAGCTACACCACCCGAGAGCACGGCCGGGAGACTCAGCCACCCGATGACAACAGGCCCATGAGTGAGCCCTGACGGCTCCTGGAAGGCACCTGGCAGGGCGTCCTAGCGCTGAGTGACACTGGCATCTTCCCCCGGACCCCTCTTGACCTTCCCGGGACACCGTGGTCCTCCTCCACGCTCCTGCTTCTCTGCTCATCCACCTGCCAGCCCCTCCTCTGGCCGCCCTTTACCTGCCTGCTCCTCCAAGTGTCTCAGCTCTGCACTGTCCTGTCCTGTTCCCCAGAACTGTCACCTGTGTGTGCATAATGGCAGCGACCACTCCGGTGCCTTTTCTGTGTTAGAGGCAGCAGCAGGCACATGACACATGGCACCTCTCTCCACTTCCTCCAGGACTGTGGGTGCCTTTTCTAGACAAGGAAACTGGGCTTCAGAGGTGAAGGACAGTGTCACGCCGCTCTGAGGTGACAGAATGGGAACCGAAACCTGGCTGACCTGAAGCCTCGACTCAGTGACACACCATCAGGCGTTTTCAGCCCGATGACCCCTCCTGCTCCGAATCCAGACATCCCACTGCATTTTTTACTGGGCACTTTTACAGGAAGTTAAAAGTACCAAATCTGAGGAGCCAAAGAGGGTAGTCGGCTAAGAACACAGACCCTGGAGCTAGGTCGCCTGGCTTTGAATTCCTGTCTCCGAAGGGCTGCCGTGAACATTTTTTGAGGTGATGCACATAAAATGCTTAGAACAGTTCCTGGCACCTCATGAGGATTCAGAAAGTCCCAAACTGAACTTACTGTCTTCCATGTTAACCCTCCCTGCTGTCCCTGTCTCTGTCCTGGTTAACAGTCCCACTACCTGTCCACTCATCGCGCAGACCAGACCTGGAGCCACCCCAGGCTCTCCCCTCAACCAGCTCCTGAGTGCTACCCCGCAGCTCGCTGCTGAGGCCCCCCGCTGCCTCTGCTGCGGTCCAGGCCCACGCTGGCTTTTCGAGCCTTCCTGCTTCCTCTCTCACCACGCCCCAGCTGATGTTTTAACTCCAATCACGTTATGCACATGATTAAACTGTTCAGGGGACCTGCACTAGCTTTGGCAATTGTTCTCAAATCTGATGACCAGCAGAAAGAGATATTATTAAAATACAAATTTTCCAGCTCCACTCCCTAAATGTCTGATCCAGCATATACGGATTAGGTTCCATATTTTTAAAAAGTCTCACCAGGCAACCCCGACGGTCAGCAGGGTGGGGGAACCCCTGGACAAAGTGCGCGTGCCTCTTCTCGGCCCCTGCTGGCCTTCTCCTGTCGTCTCCTGCTGCCCGTCAGCTCCCCAGCCCTCGGTGCCTCTGTGCTTGCTCTGCCCTCTGCCTGGAGTGCGCTGTCCGCCTTGCCCGCCTGGTCAGCTTCGCCTTGTCCCTTCCAGCCGGAGGACCCCCTCTGCTCGGAGGCCCTCCCACTTGTCTGGGCTGCCCGCTCCCCCTTTGTGTCACCACTGCACCTCGTATACAAAGTGCTCACCTCACTACGTGGCAACCGTCAGACCACACGGCTGTCTTCCTAGAAGGCTACCGGGGCACCGCAGTGCTCACCTGGTGACCCACTGAGCCCAGCACAGGGCCCGTACCTAGCAGAGGCTCAGTAAACATAGTGGCTATTGCCAGTTAAGCTGAGTGCTTGTAAACTCACTAGAAACAGCCAAGAAAGAATACACAAGTACTCATGTCAAACAGAAGCTGGTAGGGTAGTGGGATTTTGTTGTATTATTTTCCAAAAGGATCTGAATCATGGTGTATGAGAAAGTACATGTATGACTCACACTGATTATGTTAAGGGCTTCTTCTCCTGAATCCCACAGATGTGCAACCAGTACATAGAACATATATTCCAGGAGATCCCTCCAGGATTCTGAAGGCAGAAGCTACCTAGGAAGATGGAGACATAGCTCTTTTCTATTTAGAGGACAGAGCAAGTGGTGGGACTTTAGAAGAAAAAAAATCCAGCCAGTGAGAGCCAGAGGAACCTATGCGAATACTGCACAGGTGGACCATGGCTACCAGCCAGGTGGGGAAAGAGGGCTGTGGGCACACGGGGCCTCCCGCCAGCCTGCCAACCTCCCTCTCCTCCCTCTCCTGAGTTCATTCGCCCCACACTGCCCCTCCACCCAGGACACCAGCCCCTCTTTTGGGTCTGGGAGAACCAGCTGTGAATTTCCCATAATGGAACACCTTCTGCCGCTGTAACCTGAGTCCTGGGGAGAGTGAGGGAGAAATGCTCAAGGAGAACAAGGGTGAGTGAGAAAGCCATGGAGACAGTGAGAGCCAGTGAGCGAACAAGAAAACAACTCACCCGTCCTAGTGAACACCGAGCCCTCACATGGGGCCACTTCCAGGCAGAGGCGCTGGCTGGCGTGGGGCCCAGGCCAAGGAGTATGGGGAACCTCCTAGCTAAATGGCCCTGCATCTGGCCCTACACTCAGGAGATGCTGCCAACTCCCAGACACAGCCCCTGGGAGAAGAGGTCTGCATGAAGGCCCCGGGACAATGGCATCCTGCCCTCCATGGGGTGGATGCAAGGGAGAACTAGCGAAGGGCAAGTGTTTTACTCTGAGACTTGGTGTCTGGAGGCTGGTCTGCAGGCAGAACCCGGCTTAAGAGCCTGGTGGGGGGGCAGGCCCGATCGGGCGCCTGTCTCCGCCCGTTCAGATGCTTGGCAAGGGCGCAGCCCCTCAGAGGCGGTATCGGGGCTGCTGCAGAGCAGACACAGGCGCGCCAATGGGCTGGGTTGCTTTGGGGTCCCCAGGGAGCTCAGGGGCACGCCCAAGACCGGGGTCAGTTCCCGTATCAGTGACTACCCTCTGTAAAATCGTTACCCCCTCACCGCCGGACTGTTTATGCCCGTTCCCTGCCGGTTCTCCTCCCCAGCACTCCCGACGCCGCGTCTCGTGCGGCCATGGGTCCACTGTGTCCTGTCCGGCCCCGGCGTGAGCAGGCATGCACCAGGCAGACAGGGACGCCGCAGACAGCACAGGGACAGTGCGGGCTGCGGGACGGTGCTGCTCCTGGTAAGACCGTGGCTGATGCTGGAGAAAGATACACGAGCCACGGGGACAGCACCCCAGTCTGCCCCCTCCGGGCCAGTCACCTGGATGCTGAGGCTCTGGGACTCCAGGTGAGGGAAGGTGACGTTCTTGTAATCGCTGCCTGTCTCTCGAACCAGGTGGAGGTCCTGGCGCAGGTACTTCTGCAGGTGCTTCTCTGTGGCCGGGTACACCACGGTTGTCTTCACATCTGCAGCGACACAACACGGCCCGGGGCGCAGAGTGAGGCCTGCTCTCTGCCCAGCCCTGCCCCGCGCTGGTCCCACCACAGAAAGGGGGTGACCTCTGCCTCGCCTCCGGTTCCCTGGCAAAGGCAGGCAAAGGCTGAGGTTCAGTCACCCAGGATCCACTCCCACAAGGTGCCTGTGCCACCGAATTCAAAAGCGGGGCCACACTCAGAGCCTGGAAAACTCATCACCTGCCCCGTGTGCTTCCTCCTTCTTTTTCTAGGGACAGAAATGAAAAGTTTCTGACTCGTCTCACACACCGAATCTCTAGGTGTATGGGTGTCTGGACCCACAGCTGAAGCCTGGTTTGAAGCCAGGTGGGGCCCCCAATGCCAAGCCGGGCAGCCCTCCCAATGCCGGGGAGCACGGTGGTGGCTATGGGCACGCGCCCTGGGGCCGGCGGGTTCCAGTCCCGCCTCTCCTGCTCCTCCAGTCGTTTAACCTCCCATGCCCCTGCTTTCCCATCTGTCACCTGAGGATGTCATAGGATCAGGAGGATTAACCCAGTTAATACCTGTGAAACACTTAGAACAATGTCTGACAGACAGTAAATATTTACTGGGCAAGTGCTGGCTATTTTTAATCCACGGTTTCTCAACCTCGACACCACCATCATTTTGGCCCATGCAGTTCTCTGTCGTGGGGCCGCCCTGCCCATTGCAGGGTGGTTAGCAGCACTGCAGGCTCCTACCGGGGCGCTAGTAAAACCCTCTCTCCACCTGTGATGGCCAAAAATGTCTCCAGAGACACTGCCAAATGTCCCCTGGGGGATAGAACTGCCCATAGTTGAGAATCACTGTCCCACCAGAAGGAAATTGTGCAGTTCTCCTGAAGAGACTCTTGGGTAGGGTCCTGGTCAAATACCACCTGGTGAAGTCCTTTCTTCTATTTCTAATAACGTCTGTTACAACGGTTATCATTACTGTAATATTTATAAAAGGGTGGGAAAAAGTAGGTTTACAGCTTACTATTGTGTTATTTATTTATCATTGCATTATTTATTTGTAGCATTTGTCTTTTTCCATATGAACTAGAAAGCTACTTTTGTCCACCCATGTACATGGCGCTTCAACCAAGATATTCAGGACGGGAAAGGGAAATGGTGTTTAAAATCAACCAGGATGTTTCTCAAAAGACCCACGCCCTCCCAGACTCCCTTACTCTAGATTTAGACAAGTTCATCCAGAGAAAAGGGGCGGGAGGCCCTGCGGGTGCATTTCACACTCCGGCGAGCTCCCACACTTGCTCACGCACCTCAAGACCAACTAAGACCCGCCAACCCATACTTTCATATTTGGTCTGAGCACAGCGGGGATTTTAACCCCCATTTCATAGGCGAGTGAAAGTGCTGAGGGCAATTCGAGACGTATCAGACGTCAGTCACGCTGTGGGGTGCGGCAGAGGCAGGCCCCAACCCGGCCTTCTCGCCCTACCGTCAGTGCTCTTCCGACGCCAGCCCGGGGGGAGACGTCCTCAGGGGCCATACCAAGCACGTGACTTCTGGGCAGGATCAGGGGCCACTACTCCAACAGCTCTGGAAGCCAATACAGTGCGAAGACACAGGATCCAAACTGACGTGCGGCTCTCCTCTCAAAAGCTTTGTGACCTGGCTCTCAGAGCTTTAGTTTCCTCATTTGTTAAAGGGCAGCCATAAAACCTGCCCCAAAGAGTTGTTGTTAACATTGAACAACACATGTCGTCTGGGCCACTGGAGAAGCTAAGTAAGTATCACCCCACTTCCTGGCAATCTCTGTACTGGGCCCTGAGAGGGAGGCGGTGGCAGCAGCTGTCCCTCACTTCTCACTCCCGCCCCTCTCACTCCTCACTTCTCACAAGCCAGAGGTCACGCACACCAGGGTCTCAAGAGGCAGGAGAGGGCCTGAAATAGGTTGAATGGCACTGCCGTGGCCCTGGCAGTGGATACAGGGGAATCCCATGCTGTCTGCCGTGCAGCCTGGTGAAAAAAACAGAGACTCAGGCAGCAATCAGCCTGGGGTCAAATCCTAAGTCCGCACTCAGCAGCTCTGCAGCCTTGGGCCTTGTGAGAAGTCAATGAGCAGGGGATGGGAAGCCCTGAGAAAGTGCCCCCACCTGCAAAGGGAAAGTGCTCCTCCAGCACCAGCTCTCACGCCGGGGTTCGCTGCTGCCCCAGTTTTCTGGGCTGGGCCGCAGGGAGAAGAGCCGTGAACAATGGTGCTCTCACGGCATGGGGGAGAAGGGCGGGATGAGGCAGAAATCTTGTTGGAGAACAGCCGAGCCCTCCTGGCAGAGGACACACAGCCTGTGCTCGCAGTCTGGGGCTCGCTGGCTGCTCCCCATGAGAGCGCTGCTGGGCCTCCGAGCTCGCCCCTGTCTGCCAAGGCTTGTCGAAAGACTGCCCTGCCACCCAGGGTGCTGGGGGAGCGGCACCTCACTGGCCAGCCCCCTCCTGCCTTCCCCTCAGTGGGTGGGGTCGGGCAGTGAAAAGACATTTTCCAACAGCTCACTTCCTGCTGTCCTCCCTTTCCTGGATGCAGGAACCCCGTTGCTGTGCTCATGGCCTCCGAGCCAGTCCCTCCTGGGGGCCAGCCTCTGGCAGGCCACCACCGGAAGCCGGGACTCTCTTGTGCTGGCGTCAGGGGTGGGGCTGGCTGAGTTTGTATTCTCCTGAGGGGCTGACCCCCTCAAACCTGGACTGTCCTCTGGCTCCCTACCCCTGTCAACTCAGCCCTGCATCACCGTGTCCGGACGGCTCCCCAAACTCACACCGTCCTCCTCCTGCGTATCTCTGCTCCAGCCGAACGGATCTCCACCTACCTCCGCTCAATTGCGTCAAGCATGTGCCCCTTTCTAGGTCTCGTACCAGCCGTTCCCCTGCCAGGCAGGCCTCCCGCCTAAGCCCGGCTGCCCTTGCATGAGTCAGGCCGCTCCCCAGAGGTCAGCTCCTCAGAGCTCGGGGGCAGCCCTGGCTAAAGCGGCACCCTCTCCACCGCACCGTCTCCTTCCTTCCCGCACCACCGCCTGATGAGAGCGTGCAGGCTGATCCCCCCATTAGCATGTACCTTCCTGGAGGACAAAAATTTTATTTTGTCTAATTTTTCAAATTATTTTAGCCCCAGCACCTGGAGTAGCATTTGGCCTACAGTAAGCGCTTAACAAATACTGAACAAATAAGTAAATAAGCCTGGCCTTTCCAACTTTAAACCCAAGAAAAACATTTTTGTCTCAAATGAAATAAAACCCCTCTGATAATAATCAATGTAGGCTTCTCAATGGCAGCCAAAAGCAAACTCTGATGTCTATCTAAAAGCCAATCAAGGTGTTGACCTGCAGGTGAACTTCACAAGGAGTTTGGTCAAGAGTCAATGCCCAATAAATGTCAAACCACTGGGTGGAAATACACTGAGAACAGAATACCCATGCACAGTCTCAGAATATCTCCCCACAGATCACTTACTAAATACAAAGGGAACACAGCAAGCGATCGGAGCTAACATCACTTCTGATGGAAAAACTGACACCACGTGCCCCAGGAGGGATGGGCCTGGTGTCCCCGCCAAGGTGCACAACCTGAATCTAATCACGAGGAAGTATCAGCAAACCCGAAGCTGGGGACATTCTGCCAACAAGCAGCCTTACAACTCCTCACAGGTGTCCGAGCTGGGAAAGGCAGCGCCAGGCTGAGGGAGGGTTCCAGATGCAAGGACACTGGGGGCTGCACTGCCCTCGGCGGGAGCAGAGGAGTTTTGCTTCTAAAAAGGTATTGAAATAATTGGTAAGATTTATTAATGGTCGCTATGTTAGATTATATTTTGTACAGAAATGCCCTAAAATGGGTCATTTTACTCTGGTTCATAGGAGACACACACTGAAACGCTTAGCAATGAAAGGTTACATGTCTGCAACTTACTCTTCAAAAATAATAAAAGTAATAAAATTATCATTATACGTATACGTGGAGCAAAAAAAGCAAACATGGTAAAATGCTAACGAAAGGCGAAGGGCGCTCAGCACCAGCACGACACACGCGGAGTCATTAGGGGGAGCAGAGGGCCCAGGGATGAGCCGGCGCCGATGCGGGCAATTCACATCTGACAGAGCGGGGGAGAGCACGCGGTGCGATGAAGACCGTTCGGTCAATAGGTTGCACTAGAAACACTGGGCAGATACATGCAAAAATATGACAGCAGACCACCTTCTTCCACCATATACAAAAATAAATCCAAAATGGATTAAAGGCTTAACTATAAGACTAGAAACCATGACACTCTGTGAAGAAAACATAGGCAGTACAATCTCAGATATGTCTCTTCACCATGTTTTTGCTGATATATCTCCTCAGGCAAGGGAAACAAAAGAAAAAATAAACAAATGGACTACATCAAACAAGAAAGTTTTTGTACAACAAAGGAAACCATCAACAAAAGCAAAAGAGAACTCACTGAATAGGAGGACATATTTGCCAGTGATATCTCTGATAAGGGATTAACACTCAGAATTATATAAAAAACTCATACAACTCAACACCAAATAACCAATCCAATTTACAAATGAGCCAAGGGCCTGAACAGACACTTCTCCAAGGAGGACACGTAGATGGCCATGAGACATGCGGAAAGACATTCAACGTCACTAATCATCAGAGAAATGCAAATCAAAACCATGAGATATCAAAACCATGAGATGTCAGAATGGCTACCATAAATGAAACAACAAACAACTGCTGATGAGGATGTGGAGAAAGGGGAACCTTTGTGCCCTGTGGGAATGCAGCCTGCTGCAGCCACTGTGGGAAACAGAATAGAGGGTCCTCGGAAAATTAAAAACAGAACTGCCTTATGGCCCAGTGATTCCACTTCTGGGTATATATCCAAAGAAACAAAACACTATTTTGAAAAACTGTACGCACCCCTATGTTCACTGCAGCACTATTTACAATAGCCTAACTATGGAAGCAACATAAGTGTCCACTGATAGACCATTA